GTCTGACTGTTCTGATGATGGAGGTATCACCATTATAGGAACATTAGTTTCATTATGATGGATGCAGTAATCACTGACRCTACCCAGCAGYGTGCGTCGAAGAGTCCCTTGTCCACGGGAGCCCATTATCAGCAAAGATGGCTGCACTTCTTTGCAAAATCCACATATTACTTCGCCTGCACGGCCGTTTTCTTTGTAAAGTTGAATGTGCGGCTTYGCGTGATGTTCTTTGTCGTGACGCGGATGCTTTTCGCGTACTTTGTGTAGTAGGTGTTCTCCGGCTGACTTTAGGACTTCAACAGCGTTCTTATCTGCCTCTTTGACAAACTTACTCCATTCTTCATAGTACGAAAAGCTATCTGAAAATAGTATAATATTTATTTGACATATCTATCATGGTCAAACTGTAAATAAAAACTTAATACTTACATGGGTAGGGTGCGGAAGGCATTGACGGCAGCTCAAATGCGTGGTAGATGAAGACATGATCATCAAGCTTCATGATGTTGTCATAGTAAACTAAAATCAGGCAAAAGAACTGTATCACATTTTACTGAAGTAGCAAAATTCTTAATGTGTAGAAAATCCCTTTCAAACAAAAACGGCTATAGCAGGTACAAGCAAAAATGATCATGTAATATTGAATGCTTGCCTGATTAGAAATCACTGAGGTACTGAAAACGATGAAAAGGTACGAYTCTTTCTGTTTGTATATGTATCAAGGACAATTACACCGCATGTTTTGTTTTGCGTAATTTCTCACTAAAATAATGATATACGTAGAAAATTAATTCATATTTTCAAAGTGTTGCAATTAAAAATTTATAAGACAATCTGTTCAATTTTTATACCGGTATATTTAAATTAGCTCCTCCGTTCTAGCACTAAAGTCCAACACATGGGTTGGTTTTGACTTTTCTACGCTTGAATGCGACACTCTCTTAGCTTAATTTCCAGTTGTTTTAAATTTTGACAAGATTTCTAGCGTTTTCTAATAAAATTGACGCAAAGCTAAAAGTCAAACCGGTTGGCATCCCGTCATAAGCTCAGTGAAGCCAACAAACTTAAAAAAATACTAAAAAAATATTTATATAAAGTTCTTAGTAAATGGAGTCATCTGATTCTTTCCCAAGCATTCGCGCCTCCTTCTGTCGCAAGTACATAATGTAATAGCTGAACTATCTAGGTCGAGCAAAGATCGAATGAGCTAAAATACATGTAATGACTTCTTAAATTTGTGTACAGTGTTGCTGTTAGGCCATGTTTTCCCTCACTCGCAGCGTATTCAGTTTCACAGTTCTCAGTTAGTGTGCGGAAACWGTGAAATGATGTAAAACTTCGACTGCTGAGCGCACTGTATATACTCAATACCCTCAAGGAAAACAAATGCTATCGAATCAGGCTATCAGTGTTTAACACAGTATCATTGAGAGGAAACTTTAGAAGTGTAAAACTCACAATTTAGGGCTCTATGACTGTGTTTGCTGCCATCRCAAGCAAGTACAATGCTTCTTGAGCAAGATCCATCACAATCGAAGAGGTTGCCACGATCTTTGCAATCAGCCATATTCCATGAAATCCTTGAYTTACGCACTGACGTACCCTTGATGTGCAATCAGTATGCGCTTGTGAAACCGCAATAGCAATAATTACGCGAAACGTCAAGGACAGAATAATGAGGTGTTGACGCTTCTTCCGAACATTGCGCGAATTACTCGATTTAGCTCCGATCGAAAATCGTAAATCTCTCGCGTTCATTCGATCCACACAAACCAGAAAAAAAATATTTCAACAGCCAAAGAACTGGAATTTTACTTCAAATTGTATAATATAGTATATAGTTAAATTTTGAAGTTAATAATAWGTCTTACTAATCATTTGTTTCGGTAAAAGAAGAAACGAGGCATCAATGTGAAACCAGTATTTTGCGCGCGATAAATAGGATTTGCGCAATGCCTCAACATATCATAGTAAAAAAGACAAAATCAGGTGTTTGAATTTGATGCCTAATAAAGATTGGTCAACAACATGCATCCGAGAGTGACGCAACAAATCTTTGCTTATTGTTTAACAAGTTATAGGGTCTTTTTCAAATCAAGTTTCAAAAAACTGTCATTTCCGCTCATATTCATGCGTGTTATAAACTGATTCTGGGCATTCAATGCTTTAGCATTCACAAAAATACACCTTTAGACAAAGTTACTGCTTATATATGCTGTATAACTAGTAAGCCCGGTTTGTATGGGCTGTGGCAGCATTATTATATAGCCGTCTGTCCCACAGGTCTAGCATGARTCTTTTACAGGGGCAGCGCTGCGTCCCTGTTTTACGAATAAAATTTTTTAAACAGTTAAACATCTGTTAGAATTTTTTATTTTTCATTTTTCTAAAGCTATTAAGTTATTTAACGGCATGTGTATGTTTCAATGACTAAGTTGCTAATCTTGTTTTTCCTGACATGTAGAGTTCTCAGAGTGTGGTGGAGGAACAACAAGAACTGGGATATTGGTATGATGGATGCAGTAATCACTGACACTACCCAGCAGCGTGCGTCGAAGCGTTCCTTGTCCACGGGAGCCCATTATTAACATTGCTGGTTTGACGTCTTGGCAAAAACCACAGATAACTTCACCTGCTTTGCCATTTTCTCTGATTAACTGAAGTTCGGGTTTTGCTTCGTCCTCTTTTGGAAACATTTCTTTTAATTTGTGGGTACACTTTGAACCGGCCATCTGCAATATTTCCGTTGCTTCCTTCTCTGCTTGCTTCGTGAATTCACTCCAGTCTTCATAGTAAGAAAAGCCATCTAATCGAATAAAACGTTATATAAGAACCAAGTAATCATAAGGACAGAATGCTTCAGCTTCAGGGGGGTGCATGTGCATCATTGATYATGAGATATTCGATCGTACCACCCCAATCAAAGGCATGCGCATTGATTACAAATTGTRTGGATATAAAATGTTGTATGTAACGCAATATGCTCTTTTATATGCATACGCTTGAGGGATCTCGACTGTGTTAAGTAATAGAGCGGATTTCGTATGAGTGGGACACCATTACCGCACGGTTACCGCACAGTTACCGGACCTGGCCTTCACAATTTTGGTGAACCAATGGGGCACTAGAATTTGGTTACAGTACGATTACGGTCACAGTACAGTACCGTCCGTTTCCCACTCATACGAAATCCGCTCTATGATGCAACGAATACTCACATGGGTAGGGTGCGACAGGCAATGAGGGACATTCAAATGCATGGTAGAGTATCACGTGATCATCTGGTTTTACCATGTTATCTAGGTACACTGAAAGATTTAAAAAGACATAACTAGTGTTAAACTTGTGTCAAGTGCCTTTTGTTTCTATAAATTTCTCCGGGGGAAAAGGGGCTAGTATCTATCCCAAGATTCTTTATATTGAATATTCGAGGTAAAATTATAATCTATGTAAAAATACAGAGAAACTTTGTCAAGAGTACACGAGCTAAGACGAAGGACAATCATTTAAGCGTTTTACAGCTTTGAAAAAAAATATTAGCCACCCTAAGTCCAGCAGGTACCGGGCTTACAAAATATGTTACAAAATTGATAATTTTCAGATTAACTACGTTTTCACGCGTTGTTCAATCATATTTCTGATTTCGTACAAAAATAGATCTCGAGATATGGATCACTTCATAGTCTATTTTACTGCATTTTCGGCATGGATTCTTTTTTACAATGGCAAAAAAGAATATTTGTCAGTAGTGAGGAACGTGACCTTAAAATACAATACGTAAAAATATATTAGTCCAGTTCGTTGAGCTCATAATATAGCAAACTTTGCTCTTATTAAATAAACTTTTATGTCAGCATTTTTTGGTTATCAGTCACTTTAAAAGTGATTAACAGGTGATTTCTGACACCTCAGGCGTCGAATTCGCCGGTTTCAATGGTAAATCGCAGATTAACCAACAATGTTCGAAATTATAACTATATTAAGCAACAATAAAYCCAGTCTTCTTTATAAACAAAATCAAAGCTGTAGTCCAGATAACAAGTGAACAGTGTTTATATTAAATGGAAGTATTACCGTCAAGAGCTCTTTCACTGTGTTCACTTCCATCACATGCGATCACAACTTTCCGTCTTGAATCGCATTGTTTGTCTTCGGCCATCGTWAACGAGGGTYAATATTTGTRCAGGTTTTGGTTCTTGTTYCAAGAAATTGTCGTTCTATAGAGTACTGAACGACTACTGTGAAAAATCGCAAATGAAAGCGTGGGGTAAGTCACGTCCGTCGACGTCTGTGCAGTCCAACAGGTGGAGCTACATGCGTGACTGTGYGGTGCTAGTTCCGAATGATGCCCGACTGCTTATCGATTTTAGTACTTTGTTTACGTGACTTTGCAACTCGTGGATTAGCTAGAGCTGCGGTRATAAMTGGGAAGTTTGAAATACAGTYTATTCGTACTAATTTTCGCGGGTACATACTTTCTTTACTTRAATATGGGATTTTTATCTAAACTTTTTTTTGCGAGTTTTTAATTTCGTGATTTTTTAAAAATCTAATATAAAGGTAATTGTATTGGTTGTGTTGCAACAGTTGCAATAAACATTTTTGATAAAAAATATTCAAACAAATTTTTGATAAAGAATTATTATTTTAGCTGTCTATAAAAAGAATTACAATCAATTTCATAATTTTACTATATCAAGGTTGTAATTTTATTAATTTATTGTTGTAACTAGTTTGACTAGAAAACTATACCCTAACAAMTATAACTCATTTTAACTAACTTAACTTTGACTAAGGACATAACTATTATCTAAGATTCTTTATTCACAAATCCCAGTTTGGATGACTGCTTGGGTGGTGGAACTATTGACACTGGTACTGATGAATGATGAAGACAGAAGTCACTGACACTTCCGACCAGAGTACGYCGTACTGTYCCCATGCCTCTACTTCCCATCACAATTTGATCTGCCTTTTGATCTTTGGCAAGATTACAAATTATTTCTCCTGGTTCTCCACTCTCATTGAATAGCTTGCATTTCAACTAGAAATMATACATCAAAAATGTCATATTKTTAGCATTTTTCTTTGGTTTAATCTCATTTGTGATASCTGATTCTCAGGAAATTTGAGTCAAATATTGTTAATAAAAATTACCCCATTCTAATGTACTTACTTTATTCTCATTGCACTTTTTTTCATAGTATTGCATAAGCTTTCTTGCATCCTCCGTGTTTTTCTTCATGTGTTTTTCCCAGTCCTCAGGAAAGGCAAAGCCATCTGAAATTATGATTAAAAATATTTTAATCTAGTTCTCYTCAATTCCTTTTTCTTTCAGTTCATTGTTTCTTAGTTTTTCTTTTTTCAGTTGCTCCTCATTACAATGATGTGTGCATGATTATGATTAACTTWAAAAGTATTTAAACAATTATATATWAAATATATTCACATCCATCATTATCAATCTGTAGACTCCTGCACAACACTTCTGATGTCATCACACAGAACAATACTAACCATTGTTTTTTTTTTCATTGCATAACAACAATAGATGAAGTGGATGCTCAGGAGTCTGAATTTTATTTAATTAAATGCAAACCCAAAAGAAACTGAAAATGTATTAATTTATTTAAACAAGGTTGATTTTTAGCTGATACTCACATGGGTATGGTGTTGGTGGAGCAGTATAAAGATCATATGCATGAACTACAAGTAACTCATCATTATGTTTTAGATGACCATCCTTGTACCCTATCAAAAATAAAAATATTAAACCTCATATAGGAGATTTATTAGCCTGTAAAAATATAGAAATAACTGCGTAGTTRTTATCCGTAAAAAAGCTAAATCCTGCGTAAGGTAAGCACAAGTTAAACGTTGTGCATAAAAAGGCTTGTTATGACTTTATCATCTCTTTATACCATCTGGTAACATTTTAACAGAGCTTATCAACATACACTGCAGGAATCAGACTTGCAAGCCAATACTAATTCATTGACCCAAATTCAAAAGCCAAATGAGTAAAGGAAAATAATAAGGCAATATCTCAAACCATTAACTAAGTTTAGTGTCCTTTCGACATAAGGGGATAAACTTATCTACGGAGAGAGTTAATACTTTAGAAAAAAATGTTGAACATGATAAATTCTTAAGTCAACTCACAATCAAAAGCACGTTCGCTATTTACGCTTCCATCTACAGGAATAACAATCCTTCTCCCTGTTTTCTGTTCAGCCATTTTCAGTTCCGTGCTATCGCTTTGTAGTCAAGGAAAGCCGAATATACCAATCGAAAGCGTGTCCGGCCGATTAACCATCGAACCGAGACACGACCCGAGACATGCCAGAAGACACGTCTTACACAGGAAACCCAATACCTTGAAGAAAATAGAGTGGAAAAGAACCAAACAGAAAACCAATAAAGTTTGAAAAAAAAATGAGAGAAAAAATTGAAAATAAGAAATAAATAAATGAACCAAATAAAGTCTGATTTATTTGTTTATTTTTCAAATATTGTTTTTKAGAACTTCCTACATGAACTATCTTTTTATTGCTCAATTAAGCACTATTAACTGAGATATTAAACCACAGTTTTTGTTATCAATTGTTTAMTTTATAATGTGCACAAGCTTCTCTATATAAAAAGCAGTATACCCAGATGTTCCTGATGCAAGAGTAAGAGCAAGCAGATCCTGGGTGAGCAAGGACTAGAGAATGCTGTTCCAATCTCATATACTATACAGAGCCTGAACTTTTGAAATCCAGCAGAATTCAATGAGCCTGGTCTATATTGGCCATGATTGGCCTGGTGTCAGTAGATTGCTGACAAAAGACTCTAGTGGCCTCGAGAATGACACTGTTCCCAAAGGAGTCACTCTGTGCATATTTTAAAAGGTGTTTTATGAACATAAGTTATAAATTAAAACAGTTTATCATAAACCCATCTAAATGACCCACCTGTGCCTGTGACATAACTTATAATAAGATTATATCATTTGCAAAATGTAAAAACAACCATTTGAATAAAATGTCCAACCCCTAAGAGAATATTTGCCTATTGATTTACATTAGAGTGTTCTGGAGGGATAACAGTCACTGGAATCCCACTGTGRTGAACACAGTAGTCACTAACACTGCCTAAAAGTGTYCGRCGTACAGTTCCACATCCTCTAGAACCCATTACTATTTGATCAGCATCATAGTCAGTGGCAAGTTGACATATTGATTCGCCTGGTTTTCCATTTCCCTTGTACAATCTGCATTTTACCTGTGTATATATACAAAGATCTTCAATTTTTGTAGGAAATATACAATTTATTAAGTAACATAAGGAAGTTGCCATTCGGTAACATGGTAGTGACACTGTGGATGATATACAAGATAAGGAGCCATACAATACTGTAAACAGTAATCACAGAAACAAGTCTTGTTTAATGTGTGCTAGACTATAGAGCAGCAAATGGCCTGAACTGCATGTTTTATAAGGATCATTGGAACTACGTACCCCCATTTGATGGCACTTCTTGTTGTAGAAATCAATGATTTTTGCAGACTCTGCAATACTTTTGTCAACTGCTGCATTCCACTCACTTGGTAAAACTGTTCCACCATCTAATTTTAAARATAATCTTTGATTTAGCATTATAATATTCAGTTTTGGAAATTGTACAATAGTTGCATGGTTCCATAACAGTACCCTGCCACTTTATTCCTTGTTTTGAAACATTGCACTTACAGCTTTCTTTCATTTAGTTCACACTAAACAAAGAAAATTCTGGAAGATTCTTATATGTCTTCTTTTGTTGAGATGTGTTATGATGTGGTACTCACATGGGTAGGGTGTGGAGGTTGCAATTGGAGGCTCCTGTACATGTAGGACTAGAACTTCTGAACCTTTATCATGAATGTTATTAGCATACCCTAAAACAAATAATTGTTGTTTCCATTAGTAACCATCTCTCTTTTTATTAATTATAATCAAATGTGCTCTCTATTGTAAATAGAGAATACCATGAAAACACAAGATTTTAAATAATATTAAGCTAATACAAACCCATTTTTGCAATTAGGTATAAACTTTATGAATTGTATTTAACTGGACTTTTAACAAGGTCCAGATATATTTCTTAATTAGAATATTAAGTCGTTTAAATGAAATATTTGTAAAGCTTTAATTGATACAATTGTATTAAGTTATTACAAGCTCAAAAAGGCTGACAGAATACTTACACTCAAATGCTTTTTCACTGTGCGAACTACCGTCTACTGGKATAACGATTCTTTTAGGCGTAGACATTGCTCAGGTTTCCCAAGTGCGTTATTAGAAGAGCGAATATCTGGATTAAAGTGTTGCAACTTTTGTATTCGTGAAAGTCTCAATGGCAGTTCTTATTACCAGGCCTAAAACCACAGGAAGCCCAAATCAAGTTGTATCTTGATTACCGTATTTA